GGACTTTCTTCTCAAGTTTGGATTGGACTCGCTTGGTCCTGATGATGAGGATTAGTGGTTCCAAACTCCCATCTAGTGGACAGAGACAGTACTGCAGTCATGACTGAGGGTTTAAGACTGGTTATTACTGCTGCACAGCACAAACACAACACAGCAACTGGGTTTTTTGATAGTGATTCATGTTGCAGAGAAATATTGCTATAACTACATATCTTTGCTTGAACTTAAACAGAAATATTCATCTTTGAAGTAAATTTTCTAATTTCTAAAAAGCATGTAATGTTTTGTTTTTGTAATGTTAACGCTTTAGATTTAAGCCATTATAATAAGTAGTCTGTATTTTAAACCTTTTTACAACAGATGACCATAGCCTACCTAATTTCACTGTTAGCCTGTTTCCCCATTTATCTTGCAAAAACATTTTACTATGTCCTATATTTATTAAATGATCAAATGAGCATCATTTACATACCTCTCATTCCCTAATATTGTGTGCTCTTCTCTTGTGCTTAAATATTTATCTGGTTCAGTGTGTATATAGCTAACACAGTCACCAGCAGCTTAAGTTTATATGTTCATAGTTTGTTTTGTGTAAACTTTCCACACCTCTTTACACTTTTTACACATGGTGCTTATTTTATCAGCTGAAATGTTTCTAGACTGAGTATGAGACTTAAATGTGGGTTGGGTTTGTGGCGAGGACTTGGATTCAGGACCCGGTAACTCCTTAAGTCCCTGGCTGCAGTTGAACTCAGTACAACAGCATGAAACAAGTCAACTTACAAATGTTTGGCATGTCTAATTGTATCAAATGTATTAAGCAGCCAGCATTTGATATGTGAACAATTCCAGAAGTAATTCTGTTGTTTTCTATGATTTCTTTATTTAGCCTAGTCGGGTGTATGACATTGCACAAATCCAAATATCATTTGTCTTTTGTTTTCTTGTGTTTTGTCTCACATTAATCCCACTGCCTCAAGGCTGTTTTCATCATTTTCTCTGTTAAGCTTCTGAAACTAACCTAATCTTCTTTGCTCTTCCCCATCCCCACCCACTCGCCTTGTTGTGTGAGCCCACACTCTTCTCGTGTTTTTGTGGCGCTTTCTAAGTAAAGAATATAGAGATAAGTGGGATATTACACTTCAGCAGCAGACACACCAAGTGACTTTGTGATTATGATGCGGAGGGTGTTGTCTTTGAGATAGACAGAAGTGGAGGAGGAGGAGGAGGAGATGGAGGAGGAAGGGGGATTATGAGGCTAATTCCCTTATAATTTTTTGCTCATTAATCTCTGCGAAGATTCTTTAAATGCTAATGTCCAATAAAGATGTCAGCATGACATTTTACTGTGGCGGCGCAGATGTGAACAAAGTTGATGGTGTTTGTGTTGAAGAACTTTTCTCATTTTATTCATCTTGTCTCACGTTAATTTGACGGATCCTCTCACAGGATTAAACATAAATGTGTTATAACCAGTAATATACTCACTTATCCTTCCCTGGCAAGTCAAATTCAAACATTTTGTGCCAAGGTCGAATGAAACAGGTCCCTGTTGTCCTCAAAAATAACTTTGCGGTACTAGTTTTAAGGTTAAACAAGCTTAAACACAAACATCCAACCATGCTTTTTCAGAGGAATCAAACTTTAATTCAAATACATATGATTCTGTTTAATTTAAGCATATTCTGCTCTATTTACAAGAAATTAATGAAGGTCAATGTGGCAACAAGATGAAATACATGCTTGCTTGTCAACAAAGGACTTTCACAGCAAACATCGATGGACAAAAAGGAAATCTTTTATTTCCTTAAAAGCACCCATTGAGCACCTAAACTCAAATGACGAAATTCACTGGTGCCTCAACTAATACTTAACTTGCAAAGCAAAATCAGTCCTTACAATCCCTTTTTACAGAATTAGTGTCTGAAAGGTAGAAAATGAAATGTACCATAGCTCCTTCCTTTGCCTTAATAATCCAACGACAAATCATTCTCTGAAAATCCCTTCTGACAGGACGTGATCATTTTCAACCCAGTCATTCTGTTGAAGCCCTTACGCTGACCGAGGCCCTGACGCTGCCAAGCTCTTGTCGGCATCAGCACCAGTCCCAGCACCCTTGGGAGTTTAATGAGAATGTGACGACACTAGAGGTTTGCATTATATCGATCTCTGTTTTCATAATCTCTATAGGCAAACTTGGCATCCTTCTTGCTGTGCGGGATCCGCCCAAAGGGCGCGTGGTCATTGAAACACGTGTCGAAGACCTCGTCGACGATTTTCTCCGCCTCCTCTCTGCTAATTTTCCTCACAGCCAGGATGGAGCGTAGGGCACGGCCTCTGACGCATTCCTGTGTGAGAAAATAGGGCCAGTTAAGAGTTGGATTAGAGACACAGAGCTGAAACCTGCCAGTAAGAGTTACATTTATCCCAGCACAGGTACCTGATGATGCTGCTTTACACCAAAGTTGAACCTGGCAACTTCGTTGCTAAAGGCGCAGTCTCCACTGAGGTTAGCTGCCCGAATCTGAAACAATGACACAAAGAAATCTTTGACTAACCAGCAAAGTTTTTGGTCTGCAAGATAATGATTTTTTTATTCTGCAAATTCTGCAAAAAAAATTTTAAACATGCAGCTGGAGTAGAAAATGAGTTGTGAATGATTGAGATTGATAAAAACCAAGCCAACCTCTCCTTTCTCAGGTCGAATGCTGGCATCTTGTTTATGGATAAAACATATCAAGCAGTGAAAGAAAACTACTACTACTTTAAGTGATTTCAAAGGACTTTTAATTCCGGTGATGCTGTAAATACTCACTAAAGCACCAAATGTGTATTAATCCGCTGCTGAAAATAGTCCCCCAAGAAATGCAGTATTTACTCCTCTTTAAGTGACATTTGGGGGAAAACTACAGTGCTAGTACATTTTAATGCCAAGAGCAGTAACAGTACATATTTGTGACTGTATGAGATCTTCATTTGCTTCTCTTATACTAGCAGAAACAACTAATAGGAACATAAATGTTCACTGGTAGAATTAAAACTGACCAGACTAGAATCACCATTGCACATAAAGTAAATTTAGCCAGTGTCAAACACATTTTTACATACCTCAGAACAAGCTAAGTGTCTGAAGTTGTTGAACCAGTCCACATGAGCCCGGCAGTGATCAAAGGCATGGATGAGCTCATGTGTGACCACTCGGTTCATGTGGGACTGCTGGTGGATGTTGTTCTGACACAATACAATCTGCAAATGAGAGCAAATATCATCACATCTGACAAGACAAGTACTGTGAATCCAGCTCATTCTGAAATATCTTTTTTTTCTCTTTTTCACTGCCATTATCTCTCTTACTTGAGAAGAAGCTGCATCAAAACCACCGCTGACGGTCCCATCACAGTCTTCACAGGAGAAATGCCGGTCTTTAAATACTTTGCTGTGTTGAGAGGAGAAAGCAAAGTCATCTTGGTGCTATTTAATGTGCTTACTTTGCTCCAACAATTCTACTTTAAATGTCCAAAACAAACCAGCTCAAAATCAAATGACCGTTTAATTGTTTTAAAAGTGTCAAAAAGTGCCAATGAAATGAAGGGAGGAAAAAAAGCCTGAAATGATCACATTAAAGAATTAGGTTATTGAGGTGAGATTAACTGCATTGTGATTTTTAAGGGACAAGTGAAACAGGACACAGTCATGTTAGTCTGAACATGTAGTAACAGTCAGATACATTTATCAAACTGTTTATTTAGGCATCATAAAAACTATAATTACTGTTAATTAATAATATCAGTAGTATTTGCAGTAATAACATTTGCAAATACATTTTCTGCAAACAGTGAAAATGAAAGTGGAGGGTATAAAAATGAAACACATACTAACCATCCTGAACTCTTCATGGCATTGAGGAGCAGTTTTGCATACGGACCTACAGGGGACACAAACCGATAGTCAGCATTCGCTAGTACCTAACGCTACGCTAGCTAATGTTAACTGCTAGTGAGGCAGTCTGTCAAACGTTAACGTTGCACTGATGTTTTAATCACAACCACAATGGAGAGAAACTATTGCATTATACAATATTTCACTGCTGCCGTGTAACTCTCCTTAAAAGGGTAATTAGCTGTCTGCAGTACTCACTAGTTTCCATTGCAAACTGTAACATGACCTGACACTTGTGGTTGAAAGTGAACAGGCTCTGCGCGATGGATCCCTTCTTGTACTTCCCTGTGTTCCTCTCCGGGAATAAATCGTATCCATAATCCTCCTCTTGTTTAGTCTGGTCCATTGTGAGAAAAGTTGTGTACAATTTGGAAATGTAAGCATTAAGTCCCCCTGGTTAGCTACCGCTAGCTAGCAAGAGAGGTCATCACTGTTTTGGAGATCACGTGGTAGCTACAGGTCAAAGGTAATGAATTTAATAATGATTTTTTTCTATTTGATTGACATCATTCTAGAACATAGAAGTCAAGAAACTCACTTCACAATAACGAAATAAAAAGTAATAAAATATATGCTTTTATCAATGACGTTTTGTTGGAGACTGGTATACGGTGTAGATCGTCTATTCAGAACGAGCAGGCAAGTTGTCAACTTGAACCGAAATGTGTGGACCAAAAGCAGTTTATGACCCAATCCAACACCACCCACCAAACCAAGAGAAGACTAGTTCCCAGTTGAATTATTTTAGCTTTCTGCACAGCCGTTTTCAACTGCACAAGGGAATAATGCCATCGGCCATCTCTTATGTTTACATTTTGTATTTTAGGGGCTAACCTACTTTATTGCAAGCCCGTAAGGTATAAAACGTAATATTAGACATTACAGATGTTACACATACAGTATGGGTTCTTGCTTGTTGTTTGCAGACAGCTTTTACAAACTGACGAGTGAATTAAAGTGAGTGAGTGGATGAATGCTTTTGGAGTAGGTTATCAATTTGTATCATAGGCGATCTTTGGTTACGCCCAGCGCAGGATCAGCAGCGCAAAGGCTACTGGGACTCCGCTGTCATGGCGCCGAACATAAACAGAAAGCGGTGAATAACAACACATTTTGTTGTAGCACTTAGCAAAACTATCTACAGCTACACTTTAACTGTGTTTATGAGCTGGAAAGAGAAGATACAGGTACTTTACAAGCTTCAAGTAACTACAGTGTCCATTTTGCTCACTTTATTCTTAACATTTAGCGTCTCTGTTAGCTAGCTACCCGCTAGCCGCAAACACATGACAGCGTGAATCGTGTTTTCCTCTTGGCTGCAGTGCAGACTTCAAGACAACAAAGACGACAGCAACAGGTGTTAAGAATTTATCAAAAAACAAATGTCTGTTTCACAGGGAATAACATGTCTGGGGGAAACAAAGCCATTGAGTTACAGCTTCAGATGCGGCAGAACGCGGAGGATCTGCACAGCTTCATGAAGGAGCTGGAGAGCTGGGAGACAGACATGAAGAGGAGAGATGAGGAGCTGAGGACAGAAGGACCCCAGGAGGTTCAGGTTTGTTTTTGGTGTAAATGTTCGTCCACTTCAGGAGCAGCTAACGTTCTGGATATCCTTCAAGTAACAGCATCTTTCTGCATTGTGTTGTAGAGGGAACTCCCACCTGTGCGCAACAAAGACTACAAAACAAAGATGAGGGAAAAGAAGAAGAAGAAGAAAATGGAGACTGTTGGAAATGGTGACACAAAAGCAGAAGAGTCCAAACAAGCATCGAAGATTAAAGCATACGACTATCGATCATGGGACAAGTTTGATGTGGTAGCTGAAGCATTCTTGTAAAATATACTAAACACTATTTGTGAAGTTGTGGAGTAGCTGACAAAAGATTTATGCATCTGTGCTTGCAGGACAAGGCTCTGGCAGAGATGGATAAAGAGGAAAGTCCAGCAGAGTCAAATGAGTCGGACTCAGAAGAAGCTGCAGTTGATCAGGAGAAAGCGCTGGCAGAGAAGGAAAAGGTAAATCCTGCATAAGACATACTAAAAAAGAAAGCATAGTAGAAAATCCCTTTCCTAAAATATTTTATGTTATTTTCAGGGTAATAAGTTCTTCAAAGATGGGAAGTATGATGAAGCCATTGAATGTTACACCAGAGGGATGGGGGAAGATCCTTACAGCCCTGTGCTTCCTACAAACAGAGCCACCTCCTTCTTCCGGCTCAAAAAGTAACAGATCATAGATCATGTGTCTGCTGTATTGGTGCCATGTTAAGTTTTGTCTCCCTGTAAATGAATGAGACTTTGCTCTTTGCAGGTACGCTGTGGCAGAGTCCGACTGCAACTTGGCCATCGCTCTGGACAGCAACTACTTCAAAGCATATGCCCGAAGAGGAGCAGCACGGTTTGCACTGAAGAAATATGAATCTGCATTAGAAGGTGACAAACTGATTTAAAAAAAAAAGAAAAAAGACTAGATTGTCTCTCAGTCTTGAGTGCACTGAGATAACAACATGAATCTATTTCTGTATAGATTATGAGATGGTTCTCAAGCTTGACCCCGGAAACATGGAAGCACAGAATGAAGTGAAGAAAATTAACGAGGTGAGTGTGAAATGATCATTTTGGATCAGCTGCATTTCTCAAGTCTCTTTTGTTTGATCCCTTTTATCTTGCTGGTTTCAGGCCCTCGGACACGAGGCACCGACCGTCCAAAGTGAAGCCACGCAGCCACAGGAGGCTCTCACAGTCGACCCCGAGCAGCAGAGACTGATGGAGGAGCAGCAGAGGAGGCAGGAAGCGGTCATACAAAAAGACAGAGTAAGCTTTGATGTGGTTTGCCCAGTTATGCTGAAGTGAAGTGTCCCAGTTGGACTCATCAGTTCTCATGTCAAGAGGCTGGTAAATTCAAAATGTGCACAGATTTGTGTAAGGATTCGACATCTTATATTTAGACCCATTTTGTCCATCAACATCCACCACAGATTTTTTTTGGCACTGTGTGGGCTAAAAGGAAAAGTTCAGATCCTGATATTTGTTATATAATGTGCTTATTTGGAAACAATTTTCCTAGTTTGTTTATGTTTTGTGAATGTGCCTTTCAGGGGAATGCTTATTTCAAAGAGGGGAAGTACGAAGCAGCTGCAGAGTGCTACAGCAGAGGCATGGAGGCGGACAGTATGAACGTCCTTCTTCCTGCCAACAGAGCCATGGCCTTCCTCAAGCTGGAGAGGTAGGAACAACACAAAAAAATATTCCTCTTTACTAGAAAATAAAACATGACTTCAGGTTTTCTTTTTCAGTAGCGGTGATATTTTAGACACGTCTGAGCAGTGTACTCATGGCAGAAACCTTTTTTGCAGGTATAAAGAGGCGGAGGAGGACTGCACTAAAGCCATTTATCTGGACAGTACTTACTCCAAGGCTTTTGCCCGCCGAGGCACAGCCAGAGTGGCTTTAGGGAAACTGGAGGAGGCCAAACAAGGTACAAACAACAGAATTATGTCTTTTTATTTTTCACTGTTAGAAGCCCGGAAAGCTGCAGCAGATCTAGCTGTATTCTCCTTCCTGTCTGCCATCGGTTTTCATTTTCAACTCTTCCTCTATTACAAAAATGATCTGTTCTGTTTAATTTCTAAATTAAGTAAGTAAGAGTTATGTATTGACCTTTTGGGGGTATAAAACAGAGTCTCTGTGTGTGTGTGTGTGTGTGTGTGTGTGTGTGTGTGTGTGTGTGTGTGTGTGTGTGTGTGTGCGCGCCTCAGATTTTCAGGCGCTGTTGCACCTGGAGCCAGGCAACAAACAGGCCTTGAATGAACTACAGAAACTCCAGATTGTAAGTTTCAAAATTCAGGTTCAGGAAAACAAAACAGGAAAGTAATCACAGAAGAAGAAACCCTGATTAGAAAGTAAAGTGCTCTGCTCAACATATTCACCTCTGCATGATAGAAATACTTTTTAATTCTCTTTTTACTTTGTTTGCATTCTTTACTGTTGGTTGTTTGTAATGTTGCGTCTTAGAGAATTAAGTTTATTCCAATGCTGTGTGTCAAGTCCCTCTGCAACAGTGGTTGAACATCTCATCTCATAATAAATGATTAAATTCAGATCTAATGTCTGGATGACCAGTGGACTCGTCAGACTTTATTTGGTTTGACCTTCTACAGACGTCACTTCTCTTCCCTCTTGTTGTGTTAGGATGCATCTTCCAGCGGCCTTCTTCAAACAGAGGACAGCTCACAGAGGAGAACAGTCCGGCCAATCAACAAACCAACACATCTGCGCTCAACTGTGAGTGGTTCAATTTTCCACTTCTACTTTTCCATCAGTGCGGAGGTTTTTATTCATAAGGGGTGTAAAAAGGCTGTCATAAGGCCAGGCTGTCCCTGGTGAGGAGACTTCTGATACTAAAAACACTGAGGGGATCTGATTCCAGGTTTCATGTAGAAGCAAGATAATGTGTGTGTTTTGATTTCTGAAAAGATCCTTTAATTAATGAGAACGCAGTTTGCAGAGAATTTGAAAATTTTGGTTAAAACTATTAAATTTAACCCTGAAACGACGAATTAACTTGAGTTGATAGAAAGTTAATCTATATATTGAAAATATATTAGTCTGATTAGTATTTTAAGTAAAAACGCAGACTTACAAAACATAAACTTCTGTAATTTTCTGTAAGTTTTTGTCTTTGTAAATTGAAAATCATTTGGGTTTGATGGAGAAACTGTTCGACTCAGAGACTTAACTTTGGGCTCTAGTGAGCTGGCATTAGCACTTGTCTTTATATTTGACTGGGGCTGCAATTAACGATTATTTTTAGTATCAACTAATCTGCCAATCATTTTCTTTATTCATTGTTTATAAAATATTAGAGATCAGATATCCCACAGCTCAAAGTTAAATCAACAAATGTCCAAACAGTCCAAAAACCAAAACTGACAGACTTTATACAACTTGTATAAGTAGCAGATCAATCGTCTCCTCATCTTTATCTGCTGGAGCACTATTTGTCCAGCAGGTGGCAGGAGGGACATCTTTACTATAACCATCAGACTGGGTCATTATGTTGTCTGATTGTGAGCCTCTGATGCTCTTCAGAAACCTCTGAGGAGGATTGACATTGAGGAAATCAGTGGAAAGGCCTCGGTTCCTGAGGTGGAGTCAGGTGGGTCCAAGTCCCTCGTCGAGGAAGTGGTGAAGGAGACTGAGGACGGGTCCTCTCCACTGTCGACGTCACCCAGCGCCAAGATGATCAAAATCGAAGAGATATCAGACGCCCCCTCACACGCATCAGACCAGTAAGTGGCACTGTTTTATTACTGGTTATAACCATTTCATCACCCTCTTTGTTTGTCTGTAAAACACTGACTGTTGCTTTGCTATTGATCATTCCCACCCAGTAAACAGATGATATGCTTCTGTTCACCAGGCTTCCTCCCAGCAGACAGACAGGACGACCAGCGCAGAAGAACATCACTCATCCACCTGAACTGTTGACCAATTGCTCCACCACAGTAACAGACCCGCCTCCTCCACCCAACACCAGCTTCCAGCTGGAGGCCGACCTCCGCAAGATCGGAAAGCAGCCTGAAGTGATTTACAGATATCTGAGGGTGAGCTGTGTTAGAGAAGAACAATAACAGGATAATTATATGTTGCCATCACCACAGGGATCGTCACAGTAACAGTGACGGCGTGGATATGCAAAGCCAGAGCATATAGTGGACTGGGTCTTTATCATAATTTTTTAGAGATACAGTCTTCATCATGCGTTTCCTAATTACTACATTGACACAGTCTGATCTTTAGTTTTGATTCACATTGCAAATACACTGCAAATATGGTTTGAATCTGAAACCATACATTTAATCAAATTATCACACTTCAGATTCTAGAGTTTTTCTTTTTGTTCTCAGCCTTTTTTTGGGTTTTGTCTTGCAGCAAATCAAGCCTGAGGCATTCTCAAAGATTTTCCAAAACTCCCTTGAACCTGACATCCTCAATCAGATCCTGAAGACGCTGCACGAGTTCTACATGAAGTAAGTTCTTTAAAAAAAAAAAAAAGAGTACAATAGAAAAACTTATAGAGCTAAACTGTGTAAAAATGTGTAGTATGACATTGTGTATTAAGTTCAGCTCTTGTGTAGGAATGAAGCACCGGCTGTTACACTGGGGATCCTCAGCAGTCTGGCAAGCACGAGGCGCTTCGACATGGCCGTCATGTTCATGTCATCTCCAGAGAAGAAAGGTGGAGTCTCTTTGATGCATTGTTACACATGACTCATGCTTACATTGCATCTCATTCACCCACACACGCCGCCATGTTAGTAATTGCTGTGCTTTTTCTATTCTCTAGTGCTTAAAGATCTGTTTGACTTCCTTCACCAAGCCGAGCTGGAAGGATCGTCTGTCGTAGAGTTACAGAAGAAGTACGGTGTGTGACGCTCCATCTTAAGCAACACACTAAAGATTTTAACACAGGGTGCAACATTGGATTTAAAGCAAATCAAACAGTTATATTTAATACTGAATAAACTTTCATTAAAGTAGCAGTGTGCATATCCAGCGTGTGTGGGCACAAAACAGCAAGACATCCAATTAAATCCCATAAGGCAAACAACTCAGTATGCAGATAGAGTATTGTACTATTACTCCAGTGATGCTCTGTGAGCTTTTCATATTATAAACATGTTGGTGTGTTAACAGGGAGTCAGCTAATAGGGGGATTTGGAGACATGTTCTATCAACAGAAGTGTGAATTTCCATCCTGAGCACAGTGTAAAAGTCTGGATTGGTCTCTGTGAGTACTCTACGCGGTGTGAATGTTCCTCTCTAACCCTGCCAAAAAACAAACAAAAAAAAAAAAAACACCTGACATTGCATCGACTAAAACCTGCTTGAAGTATAGAAAACTCTGAGTGACAGAGGCTCAGTTTGAGATAGAACTGATGGAAAACTGAACTAGAAATAAACAAGTATTTTGTAATTGGTGTGCGGCCTGTTGAGTCAGTAACTACAAATGTTTTGAATTCAACATTACTTAATCTCAGATGTGTCACATGAATGATTAATTAATGCTGGGTAATCAGTCAAAGTCCAGTACTTCATTGTTTATTAAGTATAATAGTGCATATTGTTTGGCAAGAGAAATGGTCATACATCATGGGAGAAAACCAGATTAGCTTTGTGTTATTAAACCAGTGACCTATTACTCAAACACACGATCCATACGTCCTTTGTCTGTGCCGTCTAATCTTATTCAGGGTCACAAAGAGGTTGGAACCTGTCCCAGCATGCATTGTGCAGGGAAACGCCCTGCTTAGGCCATCACAGTGAGAGTACACAGTGCTTGAGTAAATAGTCATATATGTATAGTAAGTGTCATTAATAAGAAGATAACCGGACTGTTAGGAGAATGTCGTTTCCCTCCAGCGTCTCAACATCCACACCAGTGAGGATCTGCAGTGAAAAGAGCATCAATTAGAGTGAGAACAGATAACAGCCATGAACTGTGTGTACGTGCACTCAAACGTTCAACAACAGCCTACCTGAGACACCGAGCGTCTCGCTGATCATCGCCGTCTTCCCGGTGAACGTGTTCTCAGCCCGGCAGCTGATGGACTCCTCGGAAACGTGGCGGTTCACAGAGATGTCGATGACACTGCCCGTCACGTTCTTCCCGTACACGGTCCACGTGAAGCTGCAGGAAGGAGTGCACTCAGCTGAGCATGTAAAGCTCGCCGGGACCCCAATTTCAAGAGAGTCTGGTCCTGAAATCACCACATTCTTTGGTCCCTCTGCAAGAGAAGAGCCACTTAAAAGAAATACAGGCAACAATAATATTCCAATAAAGCCGCACAAAGTAAGATTTTCATGCGAAGGAGAAGTGAATTAAAACTCCTGCTACTCAAACAGGTACCGACATGCAAAAAAGCAAGTACGTTTTCTGAAAGATGTGTGATTTACCAGGCACCACCACGACAGTCTCAGCGGTTCTGTTTTCCTTTGTCACAGAGTTGAACGCCACACAGGTGAGAGCAGCCTTGTATGGAGGTGTTACAGGTGTGAAGAGTATGGAGGCATTTGTGGACAGAAATTTGTCGTGGTAAAACCAGGTGATGGAGCAGACGGGGAAGCAGTCAGTCAAACACTGCAGCTCTGTTGTGGACCCGGTCAGGACGACCATCTCCTCACCCACTGGCCCTTTGCTGCGTTTCACAATCTGCACCTCGTCTGGCCCATCTGGAAGGTATAACAAAGTTTTCAGTAGTCTGTTGACAGTAAAGTAAATTATTAGGGTGGTTTCATTTCGTAAAAATGGATGGTCCTCCCCTGGGTTATTAATATTTATGTTGAATACCCCTCTCGACACCCTCCCTACAACATGTCAAAAAGTATTTTTTTAATGTATCTATCAAGCAGCAACTTCTGGGGCTGAAAAATGAATCCAACGTCGAAGTGCCGAAAACTGCAGTTCCTCAAATGACCACTTGATGCTGGATTCAAATGCAAGTAAATCTCCATAGACTGTCATATTAAAATTTCGAACTTCACAGCAGAGATAAACATGTTTACAGCCTGGTACAAAAACAGTTTTGGTCCCTATAGCTAGTTTTCTCCTTCATGACAACCGTTTCCATAGCTCCATCCATCCATCCATTTTCTTCTGCTTATCCTCTAGTAGGGTCGCGGGGGGGCTGGAGCCTATCCCAGCATCCTTTCGGGCGAGAGGCGGGGTACACCCTGGACAGGTCGCCAGTCCCGTTTCCATAGCTCACCTGTTTAAATTTTATTAAGACTTAAAGTTATACATAATTGAGGGTGTGGTTGCTTTAAGTGACAGGTGGGTGATCAATGCTTGCCACAAACTGGCGTTCACTGAAGTCTTGGCTCCACACACGCCCCACCTCTTTGTCTATTTTTGGATTAGGAGGGAATTAGTTGGAGTCAGGTAGGTACTGATAAGATGGCCAGGGCAGCGTAGCTCACTCTGAGCTTCAAAACCTTCATAAATCTTCAGAAACCTTTGGGTGACGTCACAGAGGCTACGTCCATCCTTATATACAGTCTCTGGTACCTATTTAACTATTCACCATTTATTATTTTATTATCTATCTATTATTTATTTCATCTTATCATTATTTTATTTGCAGAGGAAGGCTGAAATAAAATATAAAAAAAAGTTGCTCCCCTCAGACAAAATAAATATTGAATACCCTGTCGTCCTCACTAATCATTTTTGTACATTCCCTAAGTTTGACATTTTGAGACACACACTTAGCCAAGTGTAATTCAATTACAATTAGCCAAGTGTCCAATTACTTGTGAACCCTTGAAATTTGAGGACTGTGTGACTTGGCACTTTAATGTAGTATCCTTTACTTTATTTCAAATTGAATGTGTTGAATCTCAGAGCCTGAGGAAGACAAAAATTGTGTAAAAAAAAAAAAGTGTTGCTGAACACCAAATTTAATGGCAGGAAATTATTTGAAGCCATTACCTAGCTCCCTCCTGAGTCCATTTCTTGAATATGTTGGACTCCTCTGCATTAAGACGTGCTTTTAGTGACCCTGGTACTCACAGTTTACATGCATCAGGTAGCCAACAGACAGGATGGGGGTTCTAGACTCTTGTCGACTCTTGTTGTTGTGGTCGTGGTTTCCATCCTCTAGTACCAAACATTGGTATAAACCTCCATCAGCTCGCAGGAGAGGACTGAAGCTCATCGTGGTGTTGTCAGGGGAGAACCGCACTCTTTCAGATGCTAGCACTGGGTGTTTGTTCTTCAGCCATGTGATGGAGGCTGGGTTCTGAGAGCCAGCACACTGCAGAGAGAAAGACTCGCCTGCAACCGGTAGACCCTGAGAGGTGGGACGCACTGAAAACGGGTCTGTACAGAGAGAACATTATATATTACAAGGCTGCTGCAGCATAACATTTAACTCAAACCAATATAGAATCAACTGAAAATCAGACTCACCAATGACGGTGAGGTTCTTAGTGGTGGTGAGAGTGGCGTTAGATACTGTGTTTGTGACCACACACGTCAGAGGTTCAGTTATAGAGAAGTCACTAGCGATGATCTGCAGCTCACTTCTCTCATAAGTCTTCCCCATGTATGTCAGCGTAAAGGTGCAGGATGGGATGCATGTGGCCGAGCATATGAATGTGTACTGTTTTCCAATCGACACTGTGCTGTCACCAGTGATGGTAACGTTAGATAAGCCTAGAAGAGGAGATTTAAAAAATATGATTGAATGTTCTATGCTCATTTTACTTCTTTTAAAAGTTCTTAAAAGTTTTTTAAAGTGGGTTAACATCCAAATGTGGTGCAAATTTTAACTGCATTTCTGCGAATTTATCTCCATCCACTAGTGTTATGCAAAAATTAGGAGTTTGTTCGTGAATTCTAATTCTCTATCGCAGAAGAAGAAGGCGCACTACAAGGTTAATTAAAAGAGGTAAAAGGTGAAAAAACACATAGAAAACATGATGGAAATGTGGGTAAAAACAGCTGGATGAAAACCATTCTATTGGTTGTTAATTCTCACTTTTGAGGTAATTTCTTTCACGTACTTGCCACCCAGAGGTGCAGACTCGAAGAGGACGAGAGAAGTGTGACGGTGTCCTCAGCTTTACAGACGAGCGTTTCAGAGATGACGGTGCCTGGAGGTGGAGTGACAGAAATTGTGTTGCCCTTTGCGGTACTGAGGTTCTCTTCTCCAGAGGCAACAGTCCAGGTGTAGCTGCAGGAGGGGTAGCAGTCAGCAGAGCAGGTAAAGTTGGACGCAACCCCTGCAGTCATAAAGGCTGGACCGCTGATCTGTACGTTTGATGGTCCAGCTGAAAAGTTGGAAACACATTTGGTTGAAGGATATCGCTCCTGAGAAAATTCAATAGTTCAAATTCAGTTCTCTTATTATCACCTGTCACTTGCAGCGTCTTCTGGGCGGTGACTGACATTCCTGTAGCAGGATTAACTGCTGTGCAGGTCAGGTTTTGTGTCGGGTGTAGTTCCCCAACCTGCAAACTCAGCTCCGGACCCCAAGAGGTCACATTACCACAGGTCCAGGTGAACTTACAGGTCGGGTAGCAGCTGGCTGAGCACTGGAAAACATACAGTTTTCCCACTGTCACTATGTCGACCTCACTGATCACCACTGAAGACGGCCCATCTGTGGTTGGAGGTAGAACAAACAAGATAGGCCTCTCAATAAATGTCGTTCATTTACGTGATTTTTCTATTGCTGAAGTAGCTTCCTCAAGTTGTGGCCCAGGGTCGTCTTTCCCTGCTGTGGTGGCAACTCAAGAACATGCTGATGGACACCGATGATGAACGAATCCAACAAGCTGGAGAGGGGGGTCTTTAATTTTCTTTTATATCAAGAATGCACCTTTTGAGCCCTGGCAGTAGGGGAAGCATGGCCACTGAGCAGCAGGGCCTTGCTTAAGGTCACTTCCTTGTTAGCTTATGAAGAAGCAGAAAGTATTTCATATTCTCCTACCAGTATACTCACAGTTTACTTGCATCTTGTAGCTGACAGACTGGATGGGGAGCTCCCCCTCTGCCACCACACACTGGTATAAACCATCATCTGTCTGCAGGAGAGGACTGAAGCTCATCGTGGTGTTGTCAGGGGAGAACCGCACTCTTTCAGATGCTAGCACTGGGTGTTTGTTCTTCAGCCATGTGATGGAGGCTGGGTTCTGAGAGCCAGCACACTGCAGAGAGAAAGACTCGCCTGCCACTGGTTGGGCCTGAGAGGCAGGGCGCACTGCGATGGGGTCTGTGCAGAGACAATAAGCATGAACATGACACGTTTGGTTTCTTGTACCTCATACTTTCTCTTAATCATGAGGGAGCGATGTCACACACTTACCAATGACAGTGAGGTTCATAGTGGTGGTGAGAGTGGCGTGAGATACAGAGTTTGTTGCCTCACAGGTCAGCGGCTCTATTTTCGAGTAGTCGCTAAGGTTAATCTCAAGTTGATTGTAAAACTTTGGTTCATTCCCCTGGTGCAAGATGGGCATCTGGATTTGGTCACCCAGGAAAGTCTTCCCCATGTACTTCCATGTGAAAGTACAGTATGGGATGCATGTGGCAAAGCATATGAACTTGTACCGTTTTCCCATCGTCACCGTGTGGTCACCATCGATGCTGATGTCCGATAAACCTGGGGAAGAAGTTAAAAAGCACATTTGAATGTTTTGTGCATATTTCACAAATGCATCAGAACGTGAATGCAATCTAATAAAAAAAAACTAATAGGTGAGTTTAGGTATAGTGCACATTTGAAGCTAGACTATGTAACTTTTGCTGAACGGCAGCCTCTGTGGCAGGAAAATAACTGAATGATGAATTTCCCAAGAGTTAGTTGCTTTAAATACATCGTAGGATGATCAAACTGAGGTGTTGTTATACCATATCATGTTATGTATATATTATACCTTGGTCATACCAGACCAAGTGAGGCTGTTGCAGTAAAATCCCTCAATGTACTGTCATTGAGAAAAGATGCAGTCTATTGCTTATTAGTTCAGTTTCTCATTTGTAAGAAGATTGTGTCATTTATTAGTCTTTCAAAAATTATCAGCCAGGCTTTAATCTTAGCAGTGTAATTCAAATGTAATTAGAGTGAACTGTCAAAAGAATCTAATCAAAACTAAATCACAACGTAATCTGCAAGTAAAGCAATTACACAAACTGAATTAAACATTAATGTGTAACACTGACTTCCACCATGTGTAATTGAACTGCAACATACCCAGTTTATTTGTCACTATTTATTAGAACTAATTCTCATCTAAAGCTTCAGTTCTTTCACGTACTTGCCACCCACAGCTTCAGAGTTGTAGAGATGAAGAGATGTGAGATGGTGTCTTCAGCCTGGCAGAGGAGAGTTTCAGAGATGACAGTCTTGTGAGGTGGAGTGACAGAGATTGTGTTGCCTTGCACAGTTTGGTACTTCTGATCATCCAGGATAACAGTCCATGAGTAGCTGCAGGAGGGGTAGCAGCTGGCTGAGCAGGTAAAGTTGGATTCAAAATCGTAAGTCAGCATGGGAGGACCGCTGATCTGTATGTTCGACGGTCCAGCTGAAAAGTTTGGAAAAAGATTTGGATAAAGGAGGCGCTGCTGAGGAAACTCATCAACTGTCATCTTCAGTTTGGTCATTCGTACCTGTCACTTGCAGCGTCTTGTGGACGGAGACTGACTTCCCTGTTGTGGGGTTCACCACTGTGCAGGTCAGGGTCTTTGTTGGCTCTATGTGCAGGAGCTGCAGGGTCAGCTCTGGCCCCTGAGAGGTCACGTTACCCCTGGTCCAGGTGAACTTGCAGCCTGGGTAGCAGTTGGCTGTGCACTGGAAGCTGTAGGGGATCCCCACTGTCACTATGGAAACCCCGCTGATCTCAACTGCGGACGGCCCGTCTGCAGGGGCAGGTAGAAGATTTGCTTTGAAGCAGGTGTCAAACATTTGAAGATAATCATGGGTAATTATGGGTAAGATTAAGACTTAAAAGCATCTTACATGAGATGTCCACCATGGTTCCACTGTGCTCAGTTTCACTGGCAGAAAAACCTTTGATATGAGAAACAAATTAACATAATTAACCTTCTGGCAGCTCATACAACTCTGCAAACCTCATATATCTAATCAAATAATTATATAAAAACCCCATACTGAAATTTTTGTATCAGCACAGTAAAGAATGTCTGAAAATAATGAGCATTTAAGAGATGATAATATTTTTTTTAAAAGCAGATGATGAGCCAGCGGGGCAGCCTCTTACCTGCCAGGCAGGTGAGCAGCAGCAACAGCACACAGGCTGAGTGATGAACCATGGTGCCTGAAGCCAGTCTGGATGACTATCCACACTCAAATAACCATCCACACTCTTATTATACATGGGGAAAAAGGCCTTGCCCAGTGTTATCACCCACTCATACAAAACACAGACAGCATATTACCTAATGTTCCTGGCAAAGGAGTGCAACAGGGTCGGTTATCAGCTGCATTTATTCTCTGCAGAGGGTGTGCATGTTCGCAGCCGACGTGCGGCTTGGTTTTTGGCTCCAGTGGGTTGTGGTTGTTTCTTTTGTACGTGTGGACTTGGTCCAGGTCAGATAATGAGACTGTCTCTGTTTCTTTCATATCTCCCTGTAGTCGAAGATATAAAGATTTTCAACTCAGGTTATCACAGCATTTTGATAGAATACAACTCCAGCTGTCTACAAGATCTGATACGTTTTAAGCTTTTCTATGTGTATTTACCTTTCATTATTACTTGCTCTATGTTGTCGCCGTGCAAATCAAACATTCATGACTTGTAATTTGGATGTATGAATTATGGAGTCAAGCTTCACCTGCCCCCTTTCCTCACCTGGCACAGTCTTTCAAAGAGGTCATCAAGGATATTGTCCAGTTTATGCATTTTTATTTTATTTTATTCTCTTTTCTTTTTTAGAAGCAGAGCATATAGCAAATGTTTGTCTAATTTACAGCAATGTTGTGTTATGTTAGGTTAATCAATACATTTAACAGCTTTGGTGGGGGGGTTGAGCTTGAGTGAGAAAACAGTTTATGAATTTTGAAAGATGAGGACATTGCAAACATTTTGTGTCAAAGAAATTAAATGTGATCCTCAGTTTAGTTCACACTGATGTTTGCGTCTTCATCTTCTGTTACTTTGTGCTGATGATACTCGCCGTTTCTTTAACAGAAACATTTTCCAAACTTATTCCTGCTAATGTTTTTTTGTTTATTTTTTTCTTCTTCTTTGATAAATTTGGTTTAAGATGTAATTATTTGTCTTCATAAGTTTGTTTTATCTCACCATCACAATCCCTTTTGCACACTTAATTCATTATGGGTTATGGGATTTGTGTTTTTTTTTTAATTCATTAATTTTTTTTTAATTATTTGTTCAAAGAAATTAATCTAAAACTACACTAAAGGAAAGGGCAGGGTTGTTATTTTTAAATAATATAATAATATAATAATAATATAATTATAATAATAACAATTTTGGATAATAGGAATTCTGGTGGCATAAATTGCCAAATATATGGTATGATCAAATCTGCTAAGAAGGCAAAAAGGTCATCTTTAATTGGTAAGGTGTACCGACATTATTTAATTTAATGAGTTGATGTAATAACTGTCCATCAAATGCTTGCACCCTCTAGTGTGAATTTCACCTGTAAAGACCATAAACTGGCAAGTGAAATTTTTAAATTTTTCAATCACATGTGGTGTGCCGTCACCATACAGCCAGCTGGCGGAGCCAAACCGAAACTCGACGTACTCTAGCCTCCACACACACCTACAACAGAGTTCTCACTTATTTTGGCTGCCTGAACCTCTTCTCAGTGTGTGGGTGTGAACTATGCTTAACCTACATCTTCCTCACTTTGTCAATTTTATCACACTTGTTTGAGTAGAACTAAAAACAGCTTTATGATCTTAATGAGTTCATCCTTTGGGCTCATTACACTTATAGAAGGATGGATAGTTAGATAGATAGATAGATAGATAGATAGATAGATAGATAGATAGATAGATAGATAGATAGATAGATAGATACTTTATTTGGTGTGGGGGGTGTGCCTTGGCTAGACAGAATAGCTCCACAACTATCAGGTCCATATGCAAGAGCTTGATCACCATGGATAGGTAAGACCTCCAATAATTTATTCCATGTGTCAGTAACATTGTGACTGTTACTATAGCTGAGTAAATTGTGATAAACCAAAGGTAAATTTGAATTCTTTTTCCTCTCCTTGATTCTACTTCGTAGACATTGTAAAAGCGAAAAATAAACATAAAACTTAATACAATGTTCAAAATACAATAAAGGTTGAATCGGCCACTAGATGGCAACCAATTGACTTGCTTGAGGCTCAGTGTCTGCTATCCAGGCCCCCATCTTGGCCAACTTGACTGGAAATCCTATGGATAGACTCAAAATGACCACAAAAGGGTAAGGAAACATTATTCGCTTTTCATTAGAACCGCTTTGGGATTTGATGGAATATTTAGTCATAACCAAAAATTTGACATGTAGACTGAAAAATGAGAATTTGGACCCTGAGTTTGCTTTGGGGCAGACATGAGCTGGTTAGCTCAGGCTACACTATGCTTACTATTAGTGGAAAGAGCAGCTTCTCTAGTTTCATACAACACCCAGCATGGTGGGATCGAGCAACTGTTGTTTACATTGATAGGGGTCTTATTTAGAAACAGAAATATTGAAATTATTGGCAAACAAATATTCTTTGGTCTAAATACACTTGGACTGTTGTTTTGGTAGCGTTAAAGCCTTGTCTTTTAGAGGCATAAAAAAAGAGACCAACACAGCATTCTATCAACTTTTCACAGGCAATTATGTATCGCACCATTCTGCCCGACCCGGTACCGGGTCCGTCGGCCCGTCTGTCACTGGACTATGGAAACCACTACACTGATATGTTGGATTTATTTAACATTTTTATTGTTTTGTCCATATTTGAAAACTGAAGAATAGGTGTCTGAGTCTTGTTATAAAAGTCATCAGTGCATTTTGATTAGGTATAGACATAAATGTATGTGTCAACATTTCAACTGTATTAGTGTAGAAGACTCTTACAAATATCTTCACAGATCAACAAATTCTGGCAGTAAATGTGCTGACTTCCTTCTCCACGCTTTGATATTGAAGTGCCGTTCCACGTCACTTACTACAAAGTGCAAACAGGGTTCAGCCCACTGTCAACATGTGAGACAAATGTAAAAGAACTGCATGCAGAGTGAGATGCTGGTGTATGAGTCATTAATTCGCCACAATTCAGCCACCTTTCTTTGTCACAAAATCATTCACAGAACCTAAAGAGGTGGCAGACAAAGACAAAGAGACAAAGACAAAGATTTTTGGTTAGAATAATAAGTTAGTACCTACTACCACAGCTAAAAGAATGATAAAAAATGTTAAATATCCATATTGTATAAAGGTAGATGTCCATGTGGTCTTGGATTATAAAGCAGAAACTGAGCCTTAAAATGATCCGTCAGGACTTCTGTAACTTTGTGATGTCCCACCATCCAACCTTGCAGGATTTGGTTTCTCTGAGTGTTTACCTGAAATCAGCTATATTTTTATTCAATCACTCATTCATCACAGTCAGCCAATCAGAAGAGAGGCTCCGGGCCTCCTCTCTTCTGATTGGCTCACCAACCTGTTGTTACTTGAGCTCCAGAGAGAAGCCTGAGAGAGGAGATATAAAACTAAATTAAGATGGTTTTTGGTTCTTAAAACCACAACTATATCCTCTTATGGATCGACACTTCAAATAAAATATAGGAAAAATATGATAATAATACTATTAGTGAAGTAATATGTTGGGAACCACTAAAAAACAATCAAACAAATCATATTGTTACAGTATGCTACAGTAAGAGCCAATAATATGTTTTTGCAGTAGGAGGCTGCAGTTTCAGGACTTTCAGGACCACATTGCTAAGACCCTGGTTTTTCCCTACAGTACCACCTAGTGAATTGGTTGGAAGTAGTATTGTTCCATGCACATGTTTAGAGCTAACTGGGTTTCCAGTACAGTGAAATTTGGTCTTAGGACTGTGGCCCTGAAAGTCCTGAAACTGCAGCCTCTGGGTCTGCAGAAACATGCTACTCATGAAAGTCTCACCTGTCTGCATTAGATCACAGTAAAGAGGCAGCAGAAATGATGAAGGCCAGCAGCAGCACTGCTGAAGTCTCTTCAGGACGAGCGGACAGGTTGTGCTCTGACCCTGTACCTGAAAAAAAAGAAAAAGCTGCAGGTCATCAGTTACTGTTACTATGATGTAAGGTTATGTACATTAAAGCACATAGCTAATCTACCTTTTATTTGTATAGTTTTTAAAACTGTGGCTGTCTTCCTCGAAGCAGTGTTTTGTGCTTCACACTTGAGAGTGACAGATTTGAGAGGATGATCCACTGTCATCTCAATCACATTGCCCCTCAGGGTCAGAGTGTCCACAGACGATACGTAGCGACAAGATGGCTGACATTCAGCTGTACACACGAACTTATACTTTTCTGCGATTTTGATCATGTTGGAGCCTTTGATCTGGACGTCTGATGGACCCGCTGAAAGAAAGATAGTGAGATCACTTCTCAGGGTTCAGCCCTATGTTCCCACATTTCTAATAATGTTTTGAAAATTAGGCCCTATTTTCCCACAGTCTTATATGTTCCCATAAGCCCATGTCCACACTAACCCAGGTAATATTTATCCGGTTAGCCCTTCCGTCCACATTAGAACGGTGAATTCCGAAACTGAAAACGATGCTTTACAAAAACGATCGCTGAGGTGGATAAATTTGAAGACGCTGTGGAACGTGGATGTAAAGCATTCTGAAAACGATTAGTGTGGATGCATTTTAATATTTACCCGGGTTAATGTGGACAAGGCCTAAGATTTTTCTCAAAAGGAAACCCTATGGTCCCATATTTCTTAACATAGGGCTGTGGGAACATAGGGCTGTGGGAACATAGACACGCTCCCACTTCTCAGAAAAACCTCATTAAATTTACTTGATAAAAAAACTGCAAATGGCATAGAATACTTTACATGATGTCTTATTAGCTAACTTGTAGCTGGTCATCTAATTACTTGAATGCGGTGGTTTTCTTTCTTGCCAAGGAACTGATACCACTTTCATGCTGGTATGCTAAATGAAGCCACAGCTAGATTAGCTTAGCATAAAGACATGGGGAAACAGCTAGCCTAGCGCCGTCTTAAAGTAAGAATCTGTTGACCAGCACCTCTAAAGCTCGCTAATTAACACATTATGTCTTGCTTAATTATAAAATAGTAATCCATAACAAAAAAGATTTCATATTTAAAAATGTTTAGCAATTAAATGATATGCATACCATTTTAATCAATGAACTTTAGAGGTGCTGGAAAACAGTTCAAGATCCCTATTTTCAGCCTTATGCTAAGCTAAGTTTCTCCTGGCCACAGCTTCATATTTACTGTACAGACATGAGAGTGAGAGTGGTCATCTCATCTAACTCTTGCCAAAAAGGCTAATAAGCATATTTCCCCAACTTTCAAACAATTTCTTCAGTGCTTAATACTGGAGCTAACATTAACTTGCAGGCATAGTTAGGTATCTGGGCCGCTCTTACTCATGGAAAAAAAGCATACTCTCCAAGTTTGGGCCCTTTCACCACCAGTAAACTTACTTATTACAGTTATGTTTCGAGTGGCAGCGATGAACAGCCCCGAAACACTATTGGTGGCTTTACAGATGAGAAATTTGAAGCTGTCCATCTCCTGAGGAGTGACAGAAATCACATTCCCCTGACCACTAATCCATGGACCATTGTCTGCCTTCCAGGTGTAGGTACAAGATGGCTGACAGTAGGCGTGGCAGCTGTACGTGTGGCTCACTGATGGATTCATCAAATCAGGGCCTGAGATGGAAATGTTGGCAGGCCCAGCTAAGGTAAGAAAGACAGACACAAGTCATTATTATAAGGGAGTTATTCTAAAGGCCTCATCTGGCAATCAAAATAGTTTCTTTGTTTTTTTACAACCTCATACCTAACACCTGCAGCTGCTTTGTTGCGGTGGCAGTCAACTCTGTGTGTTCATTTGTGGCTGTACATGTCACTGTTAAAGCCTCCACCCAACTGGTTACAGTGAAGGCTAGTACATTGCCCTGACCCTGGGCACTCTGGCCATCCAAAGACATAGAGTAGGTACATGCAGGACATTTGGCGTCGCACTCAATGCTGCTTGGCACGCCCACCGTTACATAGTCCGGACCGACAATCGATACTTTCACTCCTTCTGAAAATGTCACAATTAAAACTATCGTTTAGAAGGACGTCCATTTTCACATTTCATTACAGCAATCAAGTCAATTTAATTGTATTTTGATATTTAAGATGATACAGACTGCACCTTTATGATAAGATTTATTGTTTGATTGATTGTAACATAACTTACTGTCATCGTCATCGTCATCTAGTTCAGGCTGCTCTCCATCTGAAGACAGTGCTGGCTGAAGGCCTGACAGGCAGTGAGAGAGTACTTTATAAACATCTAGTACTAAGCATAACAGTTTAAAAGCTAGTTTGAGAAACAACTCAAGATCCACTTGCCAACACTTTCCAGAGCTTTTAACTGCATCATACAATCTTTACCCGTAGAAGGAGTTGAGTTGAGATTGTTTTGTCAAACTAGGTCAACAATGAGCTTTGATGCTTCATTTTTAAGCAATGATGCAAAGTCATAAATGCGCCACAGACAAAAATCGTACTAAGCTCATGAATCAACCAATTCATCTCCATCACAACTGAGTAACGTCCATCTGCTGATGAAGACCTGTGATATGGTTGAAAGTGCAGGAAAAAAGCTGATAAGTACCCTGATTTAAGTGAGGCTATGTAACTTTTCCAAGAAGCAATAACACATTTGCTCCCCAAAAGTTAAAATCATAAGTAATAAAACAAGTATATTTAGCTGCTACAGTCTCACTGGTACGGCTAGTAGCTTATTTTGGCCAACTTCTCAAGCTGTGTAAGTGACATTAATGGGTCTATTTGCTGTGCTTGTACTACTATTACACTATGTTTTAGCTTTTACCATGATCTCATAATTGTCACTTGTGGTCACAGACATTATATACTATATTTAATGTATTAGTAGCAATATAACAATGTAAAAATACTTCATTACTTGTAAAACTTCAGTATGTAATCCCATTTATAATAAGCAAAATATCCTTTAAGTATAAAAACATGTAGTATTATATAGAAAAATATCCCTTGTGATTATATTTTTGGATTATTTTTACAAGCCCATTAATGTGTCAGTAGCATTTCACTGTCGTAGTTGAGGTGGAGTCAATTGTGACTACTTTACACGCTGTTATGTGATTTAATCTATAACAATAATCTGCTACAAAACATTAACTATATTGAAAAAGTTGATAGGTTGTATAGTAACTGCTCACTATAGCTTTCAAATATGAATAAAAGGTACATTTACTTCTAGACTGTAAAGGACAAGAGGAATAAAGTAACTTGAGATAGAAAAATATAAGGACAGTACAAGATCTTCAAATTACACTGTAGTTCATGCTGTACCACATTTACAAAAGGTAACATACAAAGTAAACGGCATTCACAGTAAAACTACGATTTCAAGCAGTAAATAAAAGACAGTATGGCAGCACTACAGTAGACCTACATTGTGCCAAAGGACCAAATCATAGCAGCTAAAATTCAACCCCCCACTGTTATTTCACAAAGAAAATCCTTGTTACCTGCCAGAAACAGCAGCAACAAAAGTCTGCTGAGATTTGAATGTCCTCCGTTTTGTTTAGATGTGTAGTTATTTTCCATTGTCCTGTAAGAACGTGTAGTGTAAGGCCACCAGGAAATAGACAACTGGCGCTACACAGCCAGTCACCATCAGCAGGCAAACAGCTTTTATCGGAGAGAGCTGAGAGGAAACACATCTGCCCTCTTAGTCACTCTAATGAGAAATCCATTGCTTAGATTGTGACCCAGAGTGTAAATGTTTCACTATTTTTCCGGATTTCTTCAGCTACAAATATTTACTAGCAAATTGTTCCTCAGTTGTCCAGATGAGAGGGGAGTCCATTGAAGAGTTAAGGAATATATAGCAGCAGTACTCCTGCCTTTGAGTTTCTGGCTCAGAGTCGGCTTGAGTGAATGCTTTGGATAGTTTAATGGTTCGGAGAGTGAGCCCAAAAAGGAAATGTCACAGGTCTGATCACTGTAAAGGGAATATGTTGCATTCAAGTTATGATTTATAATGCAAAACAGACATATTATTACAAACAAAATTTAATAGATTCAGCTACAGAGTAAACACCTAAAATAAGATTAGAGAAGCAGTCATGCAGTCCAGCTGTAGAAGCTGATATGATTTGTGTGTAAGCATATTATTCACTTCTGCCCTTCCAGCATTCAGCTTGGTACTGTACGACTGGTGACCTCACCCCGTAGTACCAGAATTAATGTCCATTATCAGAGTAAATGATCAAAATGCAAACAGATGAAAAAACAGTTGCACAATGGACACACTGAGTTTAAGGACACAGACGCAGTTAGCTTGGATTTAAACATGAGGTCTACACATTGATGGACAAAATAATCTGGCACACAAACACTAAAATCACAACTCAGCTTCTTAACAATTGAGCAAATCACATTTATTAAAAGCAAAAACTAACAACAAATCCCTCACTCCTACACAAATACAAAGAAAAGAGTGTAAAAATGTGTGCAGAGGTATGTGTACACAATGTGTGTGTCTGTTTGGTCTTAAAGTGACGTCTCCTTTGAGTCCCGGGGCAGCCTGAAGGTCAGTATCTCTGTGAAAGTGTGACCTGTACAAATGCAAAGGAAAGGATCATGCATCAGCTTTACAGCATGTCTGTGTCCGGACCTTTTATCTTATGAAACAATTCTTTTCCTTTATAAAAGCACATCAAATCAGAGCGTTAGTGACCTCCTCTGGCAAAAAGCAGGTACTGTCATTTCTTGCTATAACTCTGACTGGCCTTTGTCTGGCCTGTAAATTAACACAACCAAAGGTCCCTTTAAGAGGTATAACGTCTTAAACCAGCATTTGTAAACATAACACTGACAGCTTCTAAAGTTCATATGGCAGATGTGTTAGCTAACACTTGATATTTACACATCCAACCAAAACATAGCAACATTAGGATTTATCTAGAGTTGTGTTTCAGGTGATGTGATAAATTTAAGTCCAATATTCTCTCTCCGTATAGCTCTGTTTTGTTCTGTTTTCAGTAATTCCTAAGAGAAATATCTTAAGCTATTAAATGCTACACAGTCTTTACTAACAAGTAGCTAACTTTGCTGTTTGGTGCAGGTCAAGATGAATTCAGTGCGTTTATCAGAGTGCTTCCCATGAAAACAGCTAATAACTGCTGCAGGAAACAAGGCTAATGAGAGCTGTGAGACTGAACGAAAACATTAATGTTGTGGATCTTAACCAAAACAATTAGCTGAAAGAGGCTAAAATAAAACTCAGAAGAGCTGAGGTGAACTGCAGAATTTGGTTATGTTTTCTGCAGGTTTGACAATACAACTGAAACATATTGATTTAATGCAGCTTTAAATCCAAATCAGCCTCTCCCCTCTCTCTTACGTTTCCACTGGTCCAGTGGCAGGTCTGTGTTGTCCATGGTCTGATCGTAGGGCAGCGCCTCAGTCTCCTCCTCTGTGTCTCTGAAATCGCTAAAGAAAGGCAGGTCCAGCGCCTCCGAGGCGCTCACCCTCCTCTCAGGGTCCAGGAGCAGCATCTTTTCCAAGACACAAACGGCTGCGGTGCACAAGGACATGTCAGAGTCAGCATGATGGAATTTTGTGGACATAACTTACTCTTATCATTAGGTACATAAAATGGACAGCAGAGATCTTCACGTACCATTTGGGCTAGCTTTGGAGAAAACAGAGTGCAAATCTTTTTTTGGCACTTTTGGTAGATTTCTGATGTAGCTTTTGGCCTGTTAAGAGAGGAAGTTTAGAGATTAAGGTGACAGAAGATGGTATTTTAAATATATTTTACACTTTTCCGTTGTTTCATTTGAAGTGTTGATCCATAAGAAGATATACTTGTGGTTTTAAGAACCAAAAATCATCTCAATGTATTTTTTTTTACATCTCCTCTCAGACTTTTCTCTGGAGCTCTAGTAACAACAGGTCGGTGAGCCAATCAGAAGAGAGGAGGCTCTCTTCTGATTGGCTGACTGTTTACTGAGTGATTGAATCAAAATATAGCATATTTCAGCTAAACACTTAGAGAAACCAAATTCTTCAAGGTTAGATTGTGGGTCCAAGTGGGCGGGGCTTGGAGCGGCTGAGGATGGTGACTGCTTTGATGTGACATCGCAAAGTTACAGAAGTCTTGATGACTCATTTTAAGGCTCAGTTTCTAAATACAGGCTGTGTGCGTTTCTCTGTGGACTGAGCGCTTTGATAATTTCACAGTATGAATCTAGAACGCAGACCTGCTTTATAATCAAACAACACATGTAACTTTATCACTTTATATAATATGGGACCTTTAATGATGGATAACAGCTGCTGAGGTCAGTTTGAATTCATTCAGCAACAATCTATTTCAACTGAGGAAAAAAAAAAAAAAATCCTGTAAAAACCACTCCAACGGCAGAAGGTTATGGTGCAGGAGGGGCTTGAGAATTTTCTAGGGATATTATAAAACTTCTTTTTATGATGAAAACTATAAAAATGAAGTGAACCCCGCTACTGGAATCCACTGTAACCACAATGGATCCAAGCTGTCCACAGCTGCTGTTCTCTTTGAGGTTTGAGGGAACTACAACCACAAACTTTTTACAGCCACCGTTCATCTTGTTCAACTCAGTGAGTGTTTCATGGTCAAAAGGATCGAGTGTGTCTTACATCTTGGCTCTGTAGCTTCACGACAAAGTCAGCAGTTGGAGTTCCTGTAATCTTCATGATTTCTCTGAGTTGGTCCAGGTCTGACAGGAGCTATGGTCAAGTATCATTTGTTGCATGCATTTTTAGCATTCAAAAAAGAGCTTTCTGTTTAGCTTACAAAGCTAGTGTGATCAACATGAAGAGACTATAAAAACAGGAAAGTAGACTTTCATCATAGAAATTATGCTAATTTGTCTTTACTGTTTTGAAAGGCTTCATGGTTTAGTTTTGAAATACAACTGGCAATGACCTGAAATTTTTTTTTACCAAGGACAACAGATCTAGAGGGAAGTTGACTCATTCCTCTCATTACAAAACAGTAACATCCAACAGGTTTGACACTGTCTACAAAGGGTAAAATCAAGCTTGCACTGACGACAGTTAAGGATACGATCGCTTCCTTTGAACAGTGGCTTTCCCAGCAGCATCTCTGCCATGATGCAACCTGCAGACCAGATATCCACTGCAACAGAAAAGCAGCAAACATCAGCTTTCTCAGTGAATCTTGTTTTGTTTTTGTTTCGTTTCTCAGCTCCTGTTGACAGATATTGCGATATATGAGAGTTTACCAGTTTGTGTGTAGTGCATCCAGTTGAGGATGACCTCAGGCGCTCGGTACCAGCGTGTCACAACGTAGCCGGTCATTTCTGTGTCCGCCTGCCTCGCCAGGCCAAAGTCAAGAATCTAAATCAGAGAGAAAATAAAAACAACTGTAACATGAAGATGTGTGAATGTATGGAAAGTACACCTTAAGATGGCCAGATTTTGAGTTCGAGTACCTTTAACTCGCAGTCTGGGTTAATGGCCAAATTTCCAGGCTTAAGGTCCTATGGGATATGGAGGTGTGAGGTAGAGGAAATAATGAGAATATTAATTACACAGTAAGTTAGAGCTGTCATCAGAAGACATATGCTTGTCAGTTTTTCATGTTTTGAGTACAGTATTTGTTATACAGCGGGGAAAATAAGTATTGAACGCATTAACATTTTTCTCAGTAAATATATTTCTAATGGGGCTATTAGCATGAAATTGTCACCAGATGTCAGTAACAACCCAAGTAATCCACACATACAAAGAAATCAAAACATATATGTCCATAAGTTAAGTTATGTGTAATAAAATGAAATTACACAGGGAATAAGTATTGACCACATGAAGAAAAGGATGTGCAAAAAGGCATGGAAAGCCAAGAAACCAGCTGAAATCTGTCAGTATTTAGAAAGCAATCCTGCCCCCTATCAGTGCAAATTAATATCAGCTGGTTTAGTCCTAATTGATGGCCTATAAAAGGTTTCTCGTTACCAAGGTGTCACACAATGGGCATCTCATGATGGGTAAAAGCAAAGAGCTTTCTCAAGACCTTTGCAACCTTATTGTTGCAAAAACATACTGATGACATTGGTTACAGACGTATTTCTAAACTTCTGAATGTTCCAGTGAGCGCCGTTGGGGCCATTATCCGGAAGTGGAAAGAACCATAACCGTAAACCGGCCACGACCAGGTGCTCCTTGCAAGATTTCTGACTGAGGAGTCAAAAGAGTAATCAGAAGAGTTGTCCAAGAGCCAAGGACCACTTGCGGAGAGCTTCAGAAAGACCTGGAATTAGCAGGTACAGGTGAAGAAAACAATAAGTAATTCACTCAACCGGCATGGCCTCTATACACGCTCAGCGCGCAAGACTCCATTGTTGAAGAAAAAGCATGTTGAAGCTCGTTTAAAGTTTGCTGCACAACGTTTGGACAAGCCTATGAAATACTGGGAGAATAAAGTCTGGTCAGATGAGACCAAAATTGAACTCTTTGGATGTCATAGCACACACCATGTTTGGAGGAGAAATGGCACTGCACATCACCCCAAAAAACACTATACCAACAGTGAAGTTTGGAGGTGGGAACATCACGGTGTGGGGCTGTTTTTCAGCATATGGTACTGGCAGACTTCATATAATTGAAGGAAGGATGAATGGAGAAATGTGCCGAGACATTCTTGATAAGAATCTGCTGCCATCAACCAGGATGCTGAAGATGAAACAAGGGTGGACATTTCAGCAAGACAATGATCCCAAACACACAGCCAAGGAAACTCTCAATTGGTTTTCAGAGAAAGAAAATAAAGCCCGCTAGAATGGCCCAGTCAATCACCCGACTTGAATCCAATGAAAATCTATGGAAAGAACTGAAGATCAGAGTTCATAGAAGAGGCCCCCCCGGAAGAATGGGCCAAAATCACACCTCAGCAATGTATGCGACTAGTTTCTCCATACAGGAGGCGTCTTGAAGCTGTCATTACCAACAAAGGCTTTTCGACTAGGTATTAAATAAATTTCAGTAAGCGTGTTCAATACTTTTCCCTGTCATTCCCCTTAATTACACATAACTTAATTTATGGACATATACAGTATGTTTTGATTTCTTTGTATGTGTGGATTACTTGGGTTGTTACCGACATCGGGTGACAATTTCATGTCAATAGCCCCATTAGAAATATATTTACTGAGAAAAATGTTGACGCGTTCAATACTTATTTTCCTCGCTGTGTTTACATGCCTAGTTAATTTTAGGTAGCAAAGTATTTCCAAAATGGATATATAAATAACATTTTGGGATAAAATTCTTCAACTTTGGTTACGTTAATTGAGATTTAAAGTAATATACAGGGGCACACAGAGACTTTGTATCCCTGAACACTGACTAGAATGCTCCTGCCTCCTCCAGGGCTGGAAACAATGAACTCTATCCAGCTGTTCAGTGTGAACAAATTTAGATTTCTAAAATTAATTCACACAATTTCTATCGGTACTAACTGAAGAGTAAAGTCAAAGAAATATGTTTCGACATCATGGACATTTCAATAACAATATTTAACAGAGAGCTTATCACTCTGTGTTGAGTTTAGAGAGACATGAAAACACACAAACACACACACATAGAGCAAAGCTCCCTTTGTGGGAATGGGGATGAATGGCATTTGGTGTGAAAAAGAGCAAGAACCCCACCCCCAAAGCTCATAGACTGAAAGGTCAAAGTTCACGCACCCTGTGGACGATCCCTGCGGAGTGGATATACTGAGGAGAGAGAAAAAAACAGACAACATCAACAACTTCAGCTGGACTCACTTTGTTCATGTAATTATTAACAATGGTGGTGGAAACGTGTGACATAACTTTTAGTGAGACACAACTGCTACTGTATCTATGAACAGATACTGAGTGGATGCCAGTGACAGTCAATGTGTCAGTAAAAGCGTTCACCTTGAGTCCTTTCAGCATCTGATAGACGAGGAACTGCACTCTGTCCTCCGATAACCTCTCCAGCTTCATCAGCTTCCCCAGGTCAGTGCCCATGAACGGCATCACCAGGTAACTGTGGAGGACAGAAGAAGACGTGTCAAATTATCCAAAATGCACCAACTGCTTTTATAATGACTGTTTACGAAGACGCAGGAACTTACAAGTCACGCAAGCGGTCCAATGAGATTTCAGCAGTGAAAACATCCAGCAGACCAATCACCTGCTCAGAACCAATCAGGAAAAATAAAATCTGATTAATATAGTATTTATTCACGAATGCAAGAAAAATCAAACAGTTCTTTTGTCACCAAATATTGTAATTTCCTTTTTCCCCTTCAAATTGTCTAATCTGCTCCAACATTAGGCTGCAATCTCTCTCCCCTCTTCCATCAGAGTAGTTCTTTTCATTAACTGCCTTGCAAACTATAAATCTCAGTTAAAAGAAAATAAACCACAGACCAAAAATACATGTGCAGCTTTAAAGTTATCCAAAGATAGCTCTTACATTTTCATGCTTCATGTGTTTGAGGAGTCGCAGCTCTCTGTATGCCCTTTTGGCAAAAAGTTTGGACTGGAAGGGCCGGTGGAGTTTCTTGATGGCCACCTGCGTTCCTGTCCGGCGGTCCCATGCTGAACTGAAATGGACAGATTCATGTTATGTAGTTACATTACAAAAGAAACGTTGAGCTGATGAAGTTTTATTGTGGAAAAAATGCTCTCTTTAGTCCATTTCCATGTTGGTGTCTATAAGGAAATCCACAGGTGTAATTAATAACATCTGGGACACCTGAACGGAGCTGTCGTTAATGATATTAATTATACCTGTGCCTTCCCTGCTATGACAAGACACGCCAGTCTGCTGGCCATTTGTGATTGAAGACAAAGTAATGGTGCATTCTATGCACTTAAGTCCGGGTCTTTGACTTTTCCTAACAATGAGACTGGGGGTGGTTTTCTTTGTTCACCCTCATCCACACAACACAATGCAAAGAGAGGCCCTGCAGAGCCAGCTGTGGAGAGATCCCTGACCAAAATACCCCACACCAACAGTGGTGCTGCTGCAGGACCTTTGTACTAGTAAAAATAAAAGTAAAAATAAAGTAAAACAGGTAGGCTATATGAAAAATATAGTGCTCATTAAAAAAAAAAAAAAAAAGGTTTAGGTTTGTTTCTTAAACAATGGGAAAAAAGTCAGAGTGTGCAAATTAAAACATAAAATATAAAAAGGAGTATTGGGTTTTTCTATAGTATATAGTATAGTGTATTGCTGCAATGAGAGTAGATCTCTTATTTCCACAGTTTATTTCTCAGGAAGCAGGAAGACTAAATACTGTTTGACTGTGTGATTCTAGAGCAAGACATAACATAAAGCCCACCTCCAAAACAGCTGATATAAACAAAGCTAAAAACAATATTTCTGTGAGCTGCAACGGTGTTGTTTTCCCCCCAGACTTACCACACTGTTCCATACGCTCCTGTCCCGACCTGCTTCAAGTCCCGGTACCTCTCCGGAACCTCCCACACAGTTCTGTTAACCTCCTGCCGGTAGAATCCCGTCCTGGACCGCACAGCCATACCGTCCCTACCGACTCGACAAGGCTGAGCTCAGGAAGTGGGTCCGCTCGCTTCTCAGATCCGGTCCGCTCATGTGCAGAAATAACGTTTCTTTTTTAATTTTTATTTATCGTAAACGTCTAAGACGCGCAGCCAGTCCCACAGTGAAGACTAAATATAAATTCCTCCAGATGAACCAGCCGACCACTTGTGCGCCTCGTAGGGTCGCAAGTTACCCCCCCCCCCCCCCCAACACTCACACAACACACAACACAACACACACACAACACACACACACACACACACACACGCACACACACACGCACACACATACACACACGTCGTTAGTCATGGGTCCTGGTCGCCCGGGGCAGTCTATGGGTGTGTCTACAATGTGGGGGGAAAAAAACACCAAACCAAACATCTGCCCACCCTAACGTTACACCCCTATAAAAACCCTGGAGTATGTAATATTTAATTATTTTGCATTTTCTCTCTGAGATTCCTCCAGGTTGATTTTACACCGATCATCACACCTTAATGGCGTTTAATGTAAACTTAATATTTGCATAATGTAACTCAACTGCATGGTTTTAGGATTTAAATTTATTATTATTTTTTTTTAATAAGAAAGGTTTGTTTCTAGAGTACCTGTGTTGCCTGTTCATAAATCTTTCCTGAAGGTTTTACCTGGCGGCAGGGAGGGCTCCCATTCAGCCCCAGGAGTGTGGTGATGAGGTCTGTATCACAGTCAGCATTCCAGTTGAGGTCAAGACTCTGTGCAGGTAAAATCATTTCTTTATGGACCTCACTATGTGTATGGGGGTATTGTCATGTTGAACCAGGAGAGCCCCCCCCCCTCCCCCGTCATGTTGGAAGCACATCCATCCATCTGTTATAACTATACCAATTATGCTTTTGAGGGTTGTAGGGAGGCTGGAGTCAATCCACACTGACACTGGGCAAGAGGCGAGGTAGGTGGGCCTTTGGGGCTTAGCTGAGAGCGACGACTGCTTTGCTGTGACATAAAAAAAATTGCAGAAGTCTTAACAGCTGGTTTTAAGGCTCAGTTTCTGAATACAGGCTGTGTGCATTTCTCTGTGGACTGAGTGGTTTGATACTTTCACAGTATTAATATAGAACCTAGACCTGCTTTATAATCAAAGAAGACATGGACATCTACCTTTATACAATTTGTGAGCTTTAACTGAAACTAAGGGACCTCAAAAAACTGTCCACATACCTTCGACTATATACAATGCATAAAAGAATGACTGAATGCTACAGAGAACGTGTGACAAAAAAACATACTGACAAACAGAAATGATGGTGTTTATTCTGTTGAAGCCAAGACTTGCCAAGTCATGTTACCCGTTGATGATGAATGCAAAAATCATCTGAATCATTTGAAAATCAAGAGCTGTCATTCAGCTTAGTGATTTGTAACTCGTGGCTACAGCGGAATCACATGCCACCATGTATTCAAAAGACACCTTTAACTGGAAACATACATACATACAGTATACATATACATTCGGTTTGCAGTTTGATATTCAAATCCACACCACGTGTACAACATCCACATAAGCAAGTAACACTTTAACATTCAGAGCTCTAACACACTTTGACATTTTGCATCCAGTGTTAATGGACAAACTTGCACAAAAGGCTACATGTACCACTCCATTGTGAACCATTACAGAAAAAAATAGTTCAGATTATGTTTCCTTTCTTGTATTTTGTAAAAATTATTTCAAAATGGTAAATTGATGTTTAGTTGTACTAATGTTTCTTTGAGGTAGAAATAATCTAATTTCACTGAGTCAAACAGTTTTCCCTCCATGATGATAGAGTGACAAACCAAAATACACATTAAATAGAGCTGTTTGTGCTGCTACTTGGCATTAAAAGGTCAGTTAGGCAAGCTAACCTAAATAATTAACCCTGTTTACACCTGCCGTTAGTACCCAACTTGAATTCAGACAGCACAGACTTTGAAAGAACACACCAAACTATATAACCACATACAACTAATTTCAACTAACTAGGTTAAAATCGGAGCTAGCTAGCTATTTAGCTAACCTAAACAGCTACCAGTGTTGCTACTTGGCATTACAAGATCAGCTAACCTTGAACACTGCTTTACAACAGTATACAGATTAAGGGTGTGTCTGGAGCAGTCATATAAAAAATGATTCATGAGCTTTCTGAGCTTTTTAGCACTGCCCTGGTATCTGACTGGTATTTGTGAAATTCCTTTAAATTGACTTATTATTCTGTTGTTCATCTCATATCTTCAGCAAAGTGAACCTCAAGCTTGAGTGCCAACCATGGTACTCCACACTGTTGTTATACAAGTACATTAGTATTAAAAATTTAATTCAACCTAGTTTACTAGGCTTGCTTAAGCTTTTAGATTTTTAGCTAACGTTAAGGGCTACTTCTGCTGCTCCTTGAGATTAGAGGTCATTTAGGCTAAAAAACGAACCTAGAAAACATCCATATCCAACTTGTATCAACATAGTACACAGATTATGTTTAGAATACATCTTGGGCAGCCAAATATAAATTGGATTTATATCTGTTTATGATTTATAACACTTTTATCTCCCACAATGTCTATTTGCATCAGTTAATGACCATTTGTTCATCTCATATCTGCATCTACTTAAACCTCAAAAGACATTTTCTATCTTTAGCTTTAGGTAGTATTTTCGTACTGTTCTAATCAGCAGCTGACAGTTTAAGTATGCAGTTTGATGCATTAATTTGGCATCACAAAAAGCCCCACATTGAAAGTGGTTTGAGGAACTGGTCTTTTATAAATGCGTAGATATTTCTAATGTGTGATCTTAAATGGATTTGAACATGATCAGATGGTTATCTGACTACACTAAAGATGCATGATAAGACTCATGCTAGACTGTATTTTTTTTCCATTCTTATTCAAAGAACTTCATAGTATTTGCTTTGTCCTCTTTACCCCTTGACATTTTCAGACGTTCACTATTTAGTCATAAAACATTTGGTCTTTTGACTCTGTGCAGTGTGGTTTAACACAACCAGATTATTTCTACCTCAACAAAAAAGTTTATAGAACTAAAACTCCAGTCTGCTGCAAGTTGAATGACGCAATGTCAGTGAGAAAGTCAGCAATTTGTTGTAATAATCTGTATAGCATTGAGCTCATGCTGCTTATACAAATGTCACCTGTTCCTTATATGATTGTGGGCAAAGTAATGTTGCACTAAGCAAAGAACTGCAGCAACATTGAAATACTCACACATGAGGTAAAGAACATCCCAATGCTTGAATACTGTGGTCACTAATGAACTAATGTGTATAATCTGGATAGATTCCTTTATAATACTCGGGCATTTCGAACTGAAAACTGAAAAGAAGCTGCAGAAACATGACAGCTCACTGGTTGCCACCAACAGCCAAATATGGCTGCTTAATGCGAATCATCAGTCGGAGTGTTTGACCAGTCATTGTTTGGACGGAGCTACAGGTCCAGTGCTGTTACACACATTGTGGAAACTGTATCTAACAGTTTACAAAATGCCTGTAATCTTAATTATTGTAAACACAAACCATGGCTGCATAAGACACAGCAGAGAACTATGGAAACCTGATGGCATGGCGCCGAAGCCAACAGGTGATCAGAAATCAGCCATCAGCGGAAACTGTATATGAGAAGTGAGGTCTCACTGTAAACACAGACCTGCAGCGCGGTCATTTTCTTCCAGCTTTGGCATATATCTATTACCTTGCTAATTAATAGCACAGTTGGTGTTTACTATTCTGTAAACAGGAGACGGATGGTTTTTCATCTGAGAAAGAAGAGCAGTTTTTTTGTTTGCTTTTGTAATATATTTTTTACTGTGCGGAAAACATAGATAGGTTGAATGTTGGTCACGTTCCTGGTAATGCCTCTCTCTGACCCTCAGACCGGTTTAATACCACTGTGTCAGGTGCAATAAGCAGTCTTAATGGTTATAGTACAGTACCAGTAATATGCTGTAATAATAAAATGCACAAAAATCATGCAGTAGTATGCAGGCTAAAGCTGTTCTGTGACATGACGTGGCATTGCTGCAAGCCTTTAAACATGAATTCCATTATATGTAAGCAGTGACTGCTCATGGGATTTGTCATGATGAGGGACCAGATGGTGTTCCTGTCGTAGCTTTGGAAATCCTAGTGTACGTTTTTTCTTCCTTCGATACCCTTCTATCAGTCTGTTAACACAGTTCAGTTCCTTAAAGTTACTCCCTCATATGAGTCCTCACGTCCTGTGATGCCTGATGTAGTTGAGTTCTTCATTTTTACCCTTGCCGAGTGGAAACATAAGAGGAAGCAACTTTCTGCACTGGAGAGATCCTTCTATCTTAATCTAAAATGCTCCCTGTAAATTGTAATGTGCGCATCTGATCCCGTGGAGACCGTCCTACCCTGCTGCTCAAACACACTCATGACAGGTAATCGAACATAGTCACACTGAAGCAGGGGCAATGCAGCGTTTCCTGGCCACAGTCCTTCTCCCACTCACTGAGTACGTGGTCCTTTTCCAGGTATAGGTAGAGCAGAGGGAGTCTTACTGCTCCACCTGAAGGCTATCGGTCTTGCTGCCGGATTCTTTGAAGCTGTTCACCTCTTCGAAAACCAACTCTGTGCAAATGCATGTGAGAGAATTATATGTGTTAGGGGTTGAAGCAGTAAAAAAAAGCACTATCTTGACATTTTATCGTCAAAACATGAGGTAATTAAATGTGAAAATCGAGGTATATTTCTGGTGCAAGCTTTATCCAGTGCTATTATATTTGTGCGTGTTCAGCTAGGTATAGTAGTCTATATATACTAGTCAGAATTAAGATGCAAACAATGCAGAATTATCCACAATGACTGTCATCTCTGGGGCATTTCACAAGCCATAAAATTCACTGATGAACTGAAGCATTATCATATTAATGATGTTGTAAATGGCAATATGTCAAAATCCACATCACTTTGGTGTTGCAGTCAGCATTCTTGCAACACCCATGCAAGCTTGAACTCATCATTGCATAATGTTCGCTTTAAATCTGTTGCATCAGTTTGTGCAACTTTTTCTTCTGCAAATCAAAAACTGCCCCACTACAACTGTTCGTAAAAGGAAGCGAGAGCATTAAATAGGAGGAAGACATTGGCTGGACATTTGAAAGTGCCATTGATATGCAGCA